TCTTATTCATTCACAGTAGCTGTACATATATACAAGTGAGATGTTGCCCTCACACATATGGAAAGAACTTGTAAAAACAGCAACATATACAATACATTGAATCTTATAAATGCAGAGTATATGAATGGCAATGGCTGATTGTAAGGATGATTAGAATCAGCTATCCGGTGGAGTTGATTGAGCCGTGATTGGTGATGTACCAGGATGTGTTTCCATAATACAGAAGACCCTCTTCTCGCTAGTACTTCTTCCTCCGTTAGCAATCTCCTCCTCCTCTTCCACTGTTCTTCCCTCTGTTTTGTCCGACGATGGCAACTCCAGAAGAGGTTCCAAACAAGCAGGTGATTTTCAAGAACTACGTGCCCAGCGGACTCCCCACGGAATCGAACATGGAAATGAAGACGTCCACCATCAAATTGAAGGTACCGGAGGGTACTAAAGATGCCGTGCTGCTCAAGAATCTCTACTTGTCTTGTGACCCTTACATGCGAGGTCGCATGACGAAGCTCGAAATTCCCACCTTCATTCCTTCCTTCGAGCTTGGCTCGGTCAGTTAGTTAACCAGAATACATTCATCTGCCTTTTCTTTGTTTCTTGCATTATTTTCAATCATTTATGAATATTTCTTCACTGATTTCTCTTAAGAACTCTGCTCAAGTTGTGACTCTAATTGAGCCACTCTACTGTGACGGAACTTTGCTTTTCTGATTCTTCTCTGAATTAGTTTTCTTTTTTTCCTTATGTTGAATTTTTGCAGCCTATAAATGGTGGTGGAGTGTGTAGAGTGCTGGATTCGACTCATCCAGATTTCAAAAAGGGTGATTTGGTATGGGGGAGAACTGGATGGGAAGAGTACAGTCTCGTCATATCACCAGAGCGTCTGTTCAAAATTCAGCATACAGATGTGCCTCTCACATACTATACTGGAATTCTTGGTGAGTTTGATTTCAGTTTTAGCATTTAGCAATATCTGAATACAACCCGTTTGGATGAAATGAAGCCCCCCTTTTCCACTATCTCCTACGGAGGCATGGCTTTTGTTGATTTGCTCACAAGATTATGATAACTTGAGTTATAATTTTGAAAGTTATTCGAAATGGTGCAATTGTGCAAAGGCTAAATTTGTTGAAGGCTACTTCCTAGGGAGCCTGGTTAGATATGTTCACAGTGTTGATCTAAATAGTGTCAGGAATTCAGGACCTAAATGAAAGACTTGCCTGTTGAACTTAGTTCTAGAGATTAAATTAGTAAAATCAAATCTACAGTCAGTCCATTAGCAATGTGTTTATATGACCCTCCATGTAGGCTATTTGTGCTTTAGCTTGGTTCATAATTGTCACTACCTATGTCTTAGTTATTTTCTTGTCATGTTGTTGTCGTGGATGACAACAATAAGAAGCAAAATTTTTAGATACAGGGCAATCACAGACTGGTGTGTCAAAATGCTGAATTAAATGACCTTACAACAAGTGTCAGGTGCTTAGTTCATGCAGAGACCAGAATCCAAATATACTATTATGATGGATGCATATCCACACAGCAGGACAAGAGCAGGATTGTTAATTTGGTTTAAATTCACATATAGATTATATTCAGCAGTCTTCTGTAGTTGGTGTATCGTTGGTCCAAATACTGCTCTAATTTTTTGAATTTGCTCTTCATAGGTATGCCTGGGATGACTGCATATGCTGGATTTTATGAGGTTTGCTCTCCTAAGAAAGGAGAGTATGTCTTTGTATCAGCCGCATCTGGAGCAGTTGGTCAGCTTGTTGGGCAGTTTGCTAAATTGTCTGGTTGCTATGTTGTTGGAAGTGCTGGAAGCAAAGAGAAGGTAAGATTTATAATAACTTAACATCCTTCTCCCATTTGTTGTAGCTTCTGCCTACTGGACTAATATTTGGAATTGTTCCCTTCCGTGGAATGATCACTGAATCACTAGAATAACTATTAAAACCTAAATACTAAGGGAACTAATTCTTGAATGCGACATGGTTCATTATTTTGCCCACAGTCACCTTGTTTCTCGTTGGTAAGCAGCTTCCATTTCTCAATTCATCTGTCTTAATCTTTTGTGAATTCTGAAAAATAAGGTTGAGTTGCTGAAAAACAAGTATGGGTTTGATGCTGCTTTCAATTACAAAGAAGAACCAGACTTGGTTGCAGCTTTGAAAAGGTGACTTTGAAATTTTGTAAAGAGGTTAATTGCATTTCCTCCTTGTGGAGTTTTTGCTTTTTTTTTTTTTTTAGGTACATCTGATGTTGGGTTATACAAGAAAATATAGCCCTCCCCTTTTCCCAAATCACTCCCTATCCGACTCAAAGTTTCAACCTGAGATCTTTAACTTAGAATCTCAAGCTCTTAATCGGTTGAGCCATCCCTTTGGCAGTAGTGGAGTTTTTGTAATCAAGGTGCTTCTTTTACATTCTGATATTCTGCTTTGCTTATTCTGCCAGGTACTTTCCTGAAGGCATTGATATTTACTTTGAAAATGTTGGTGGAAAGATGCTTGATGCGGTTCTGCTCAACATGAGAATCCGAGGCCGAATTGCTGTGTGTGGGATGATCTCACAATACAACCTTGAGCAGCCTGAAGGAGTACACAACCTTGGAATGACCATAGCAAGGCGGGTTCGCATGGAAGGATTCCTAGTTGTTGACTTTTATCACCTATATCCCAAGTATTTAGATATGGTCATACCTTTAATCAAAGAAGGAAAGATAGTTTACAAGGAAGACATAGCTGAGGGCCT